GGAACCCGCAGAGGAGGGACCCGTTTCTGCCAGTTCTGGAGAAGGTGCTTCTCTACAGCCATTTCTTTCTGTCCCTGTTTTTTTTCACTATTATTTCTATAAAATGGAGCAGCTAGAGACCAGCTCTGCACAGTGCTCGTTCAGTCTTTCTCCATTGCATCGCTTCCCAGCCCTCCGCTGTAATTCTTTTTCCTGCTTGAGTCATAGAGCTGCGGTTGTTTCAGCTGCTTAAGTCAAATAAGAAAACCCACAACCCCACAAGGCACGAGATCTGCACGCTTAGTGCTTTGTACTCCAGTTCAGTAGAGCTACGCGTGTTCTTAAAGTATTCTGTGGCCAGCACGGTATTTGAATAAAACAATTGCAAAATCAGGAGGTAATGCCTTCATTCTGTCCCTCGGGAATTCTTACCACAAGCACGGCCCTCAGAAACAGGAGTTAAGGCCCTCCTCTCACGGAGGCGTTTCAGTGCTGGGGAAGGGCGTTTCAGAATTCCACCTCAGGCCACCAGATAAAACACTGCAAGTCCGAAGCACCTGTACTACCGTTTGTGTGAGTTTCAGCACGACCCGCACCATTCCGAAACCCAGGGCAGAGAGAACAGCAGGATCACCAGGATTAACGGGGCGATACATGGGATGGGTTTTTTTTTAAAAAAGTTTAAAAACTTCTTAAAAATATATTTCAACACATCTACACTCCAACTCCTTTTGCAACTGGCTGCACCTAAACCATCACAGCCAACCTAGAACAGAGCCTCAGACCTCTGCCTGTAGAACCAGTGAGGTGCATCTCCCACTGCATCGGGGATCACCACTAAATACCTCCAGCATCTCAAAAAGTTTTATACATGCAACTTGCCTGCAACGGCAGGAGAACTCTGTTCCCTGCACCCTGTGGCTGCGCAGACGGTTGACCTGCGTTACAGAAGGCGTTACAGGAGGACTCAGTTTTATCAACAGGTCTGGCTGGGATCTTGGTCCCTGCTACAAAAACAAGCTCACAGGTAGAAAAGACAAAACCCAGAAAAAGCTGTTTGCAAGTTACTGTATTGTTCCCTGTGTCTCAAATCCTTGCAGCCTCACACCTAAGCCACAGACAGGAGGGAAAGCACTTTATTTAGAAGCTGAGAGTCTGATGGTCGTTAGGCAAACTGCTTGCAGACGAGTTTACAGATCAGCAATCGGTTTGTGGGGCCAGTACGGGTATTTCTCCTTGTCCAGTCTGGTTTCGGGGAAGGCTTCATGCAAGTCTTCAAATGTCATCTGTTCAAAGGGAACCATGCTTCGGAGCTTCTGAAGCTTGAAGTGGAAGCAGAGATAAACATGTTACCGCTCGCTCGTCAGGAAGAAAGAGCAAAGCACACAGAAGTAAGGACAAAGAGTGTTCCAGGCTGGGTTAAAGAGAACGTTCGTTAAAAGTCCACACTTACCTGTTGCTCATACTGGGCAATACGAGCTTTGGAAGCCTGCACGTACTCAGCAGTGCTCTTTGCCTGCAGGAAAGCAGAGGACGTGGTGAATGTGGTTGGGATAAAGGCAGTGACCTAGAGCAAACCCGCAACCCCACGCTTTAAGTTGGCGTTAAAATTCAGTGTCACTACCCTAGATAAGCGGACAGAATCTTGCTCAAATCCCACACAGCCAAACACTTCCCCGTGCAGAGATCCTGTTGCTTAGCCAACAGCCAGGGACACGTGCCAAGAGCCGAGCCGTGCTCCAGCTCGGGCTGCCCTGCCTGTGCAGACACAGGTGCAGAACCTCCCTCCCCCGCCTCAGAGAAGTCAGAGACAACCCCGGCATTAGGGAACAGTTCAAACGCTTACAGCTTCCAGCTCCTGGGCATCAATTTTGGCAGTCTGTGTATCCACTGGCTCAGGAACCTTTAGCGCGCTGAACTGTAAACCAAAAGAGAAAAATTTTTTGTACATTTTGTTTGACTGAAACAATCCTTCACACCAAGGTCATTTTCCCTAGCAGCAGGGGAGCATTCCCTCCGATCTTCCCAGGATACGTTCACAACAGTGTAACGAGCTTTCTAAAACTGATCACTGCAGCTTGACTGTGTCCTTCACCAGCAGCAGCTGCTCACCTGTGAGCTTAAAGCAGCCTACTCCGTACTGCAAACCACCACTGGGACAGGTAGCACCACACACATCCGTCACAGCACTGTCGCGAACAAAGCGTGGCATTGTAAGGAAGCAAGGCAGTCTAACAGAATCACAGAATGTTCGGGCTTGGAAGGGACCTCTGTGGGTCACCCAGCCCAGCCCCCTGCCCAAGCAGGGTCACCCAAAGCAGGCTGCACAGCACCGCGTCCAGGCGGGGCTGGAATATCTCCAGAGAAGGAGACTCCACAGCCTCCCTGGGCAGCCTGGGCCAGGGCTCCGTCACCCTCAGAGGGAAGAAGTTCCTCCTCGGGTTCAGACGGAACTTCCTGTGCTTCAGTTTGTGCCCATTGCCCCTTGTCCTGTCAGCACCACTGAAAAGAGCTTGGCCCCATTCTCCTGACACACACCCTGCAGATATTTATAAGCATTTATAACGTCCCCTCGCAGCCTTCTCTTCTCCAGGCTGAACAAGCCCAGCTCCCTCAGCCTTTCCTCATAGGAGAGATGCTCCAGTCCCCTCACCACCCTTGTAGCCCTCCACCGGACTCTCTCCAGTAGCTTCTCATCTTTCTTGAACTGGGGAGCCCAGAACTGGACACAGTACTCCAGATGAGGCCTCACCAGGGCAGAGTAGGGGGGAAGGAGAACCTCCTTCGTCCTGCTGGCCACACTCTTCTTGATGCACCCCAGGAACACCCAAGACTTCTCCCATCACAGACTTCCTCCCCCCAAGACAAAGCTCCCAGATCCCTCTGAGGTCAGTGGGTCCCCCACCCTCGACAGGCCAGTTTTCACAGCACCAGTGACAGCACGCGTCCCTCAGCAAAAGCCTCACTCATGCTCTCCAGTTCCTGCTCATAAAGAGGACGGCAACCGCTGCAGGCATCTGCCAGCTTCACGCGTGCAGAGCCACGATCGCCACCTTCTTCTAGTCGGTGAGTTAGAGAAATGGCTTCAACGCTTGCTTCGGGAGAGGCACTACCTCAGAATTCACTTCTGCAGCAAAAATAATTTATCAAGTTTTCTTTCACCAGCTTTCTCGCCACGCAGTGCCACAGGCTTCCTCCTGAAAGCTGGCACTGAAGCGACCGCCTCGAGGTCAGCAACATTGATCTGCAGGATGCAAAGCTGGGGCACCTGCTAGCCACAGCCCACCTCCTCTGCCAGTTCCGGTGTTTTCCTCTCAACAGCAAAGACATTCCCCGTTTAAACCTCTGAAGAGCAACACCCAGCTGGCAAAGACACTGACCTTCTTCTGAAACTCATCCACCATGCCAGCTTTAGCCACAGCAGCCTTGTAGTGAGCCCAGTTGATGGCCGGTGGCTTCTCCGGCAGGGCGGCCAACCTAAAGGGACAGAGGACAGCAGTAACAGCCAGCGCCTGGCGTCATCCCACACCACCAACTGCCCCCTGCCACAGAGCGCCAGCAGAGCCTGCCAAGTCTAGTTTTGCTATCTCCACGCCCATCATTAACCAGCAGCGATAAACCATTTCCACAGACCCCTCCACGCATGAGACAGGCTTCGCTACGCAGACAAGCAGAGTTCAGCCCGCAGCCCTGCTCTGCCTCAGGCCACCAGGCAGCATCTCTGGGTGCAGCCCGGCGGGAAGGCACCCAGCAGCGTTGGCAATACCAAGACAGAGGCAATCGGCAGTAGGCAGCACTAACTGCCACAGCCAAAAGCACGTGTACGGAGCAGCGGACACTGGCGCGTCTGAGAGGACTCCTGAGTTTGTGCAGCATTTAACAGAATAACAAAGCTCGCAAAATGCTCTGCACGCACCAAAGCAGAGCTGCTTTTTTACACTGCAGCTCTTGTTTTCCTCCGGGGAGGATGAAGTAAAGGCGATTTACCAAAATAAACCCCCACCAGCTTCTCAGGTGACCCGCTCCGAGGCCTCCCAGGG